CGGCGTTCTCAGTCTATGGTGGCCAGGAAACAAAGTGAGCTTTTGCCCCGAAGAGCTGTTATTGACTCAAAAAGTAGTAACAGCAATCATAACAATGGCAACGGTTTGCTTTCTGGGGTTGGAGTTGGTATTCAGAAGGTTGTGTTTGATAAGGATTTTCCCTCACTCGGAACTGAAGAAAGGCCAGCTGTGCCTGATGTTGGAAGAGTTCCATCCCCTGGATTTAGCACAGCTGTTCAGAGCCTGCCTGTTGGTAGTTCAGCTTTAATTGGTGGGGAGGGATGGACGTCAGCTCTGGCAGAGGTGCCTTCTACTATCATTGCAAGCAGTAGCTCAGGATCCTTTCCTGTTCAACCAACGGTTGCTGCTACTTCGGGTTCTGGTACTTCAACTGCAATGGCTGGTCTTAACATGGCTGAAGCATTAGCGCAAGCTCCAGCACGAGCTCGCACTGCTCCTCAGGTAACTGAGATTTCACTTGCCTCATGCTATTTGAACAGTATGTACTTCTGGCTGATCTGACAATGCATTTTCTTGTGTAGTTATCTATCAAGACCCAGAGGCTTGAGGAATTGGCTATCAAGCAATCGAGGCAATTAATACCAGTAACCCCTTCGATGCCCAAAGCTTCAGTAAGTGAACTTACACTGATGTTTGCATGAGCTTGTTTTAGTGCTGTTAAACTTATGACTTCTAATTAATCAGACAGGTGTTAGCAATAATATTTTGTGGGTCATGCTTGTTTTAAGTGTTCGTATAGTTAACCATCAAGAAAATAAGGAACTTAGTTAATGATGCAAGCTACATAGTGTTTTTTTATCCTTCCCCTTTTATACATATTCTTTGATGTTTGGCTAGAAGGTGCTTGTAGTAAATTTGTGGATTGTTTTAATTTTCATAGGTTTTTCATCTCCCTTATTTCAATAATTTAGGTTACTTGTTGTGACTAGTTTTGCTTTCACTTTTGTTGATATCAAACTTCATGATCTCACCTGTTGTGCAAAGGTGTTTGGAGGATGTTAAACTGAATTTTCTTGTGATTGATGCTCTATTTGAGACAAGTAACTTGTGATTATCGAGCCAACCTTACAAGTTAGAAGTCATTCATGTTTAGAGGTGTATGTTTGGCGTACTAGCAAATTCGAATAACGCTTTGCTGGAGTTTCTCTTCTTAGACTCAATTAAAGTAATAGGGTTGATATATTTCAGATTAGTTGACAGTTACTTGTTGAGCAGTCTAATTTGATTTCAAAACTATGTAAGCAATGAGTTTCTTAGTTGATTTTGGACCTATTTACTCTCTCTCATTATCTGTATAGATTGTTAGGGTGATAGATGATTCAGTGACATAAATAAGAGACAGCCATTGGTTTAGATTATTTAAGTTCTTCTGATGCTCGAGAACCCTCCCTCTCTTACTCCTTATGTTTTCCTCCCTCTCCCTCTCTTGTCATTGGTCCGTGTATGGTGGGGATTCTTGGGAGTAGATGGACGTGATAGTGTGTTGCAAAACTCGTTATTTACCGGCTGTCTTCTGATCAGGACTCTGCTGTTTCCTTCATGCTATTTCTTAGGCACTGAATAAAAGATGGAATACTTGTTTTTATTTTCATTGTAAGATACACAGCATGAAGAATGTCCTATTTACTTGGGTGTTCCCTTTGGAGAGAAATGAACCTTCTTCTGTCGTATGGAGATTAACAATTTTCCTTATAAGGAAAACCTACACCCTTTTGCTCCAGTTATGCAATGAAGAGGATTGTTGTGTTTCTTTCTTAGTTAGAAGCATACATTGTGTTTCCCACATCATTGGTTTGAAACTAGTGAAAAGTGTTTTGTAATTGTTGTCTGAAGTTTTGTTGTTTACACTGTAATTGGGTTATGACTCTTTCGTGCTGCTTTTTAAGTTAATCTCAATGGTCAAGTTTGATGAGTAGTACATAGATAAATGGTCAAGATTGAAAAGAATTGACTTATATGCCATTCATTTTTCAAGAAATGTATATTCATACATATACAGACAAAGAACACAATCAAACACGTCTGATTTGCTTATTTGCCAAAAGCCTTTATGTTTTTGAGTTCTAGTAACAATTTTCTAACATCTTTTCAGGTTCTGAATTCTTCTGACAAATCAAAGCCCAAAACAGCAGCCAGGACTGGTGAAATGAATGTACCGGCCAAGGGTGGACAACAGCAGCAACCCTCTCAATTGCACCACGGCAATCAATCTCTTCGTGGTGGTCCTGTCAAGTCTGATCCTCCAAAGACATCTCATGGGAAGTTCCTGGTTCTTAAACCAGTATGGGAAAATGGTGTCTCCTCTTCTCCAAAGGATGTTACTAGCCCTACAAATAATGCCAGCAGAGCAGCAAATAGCCCACTTGTTGTTGCTCCTGCGGTTGCATCTGCTCCTCTAAGGAGCCCCAACAACCCAAAGCTTTCGCCTGTGGAGCGCAAGGTAGCTGCCTTGGATCTGAAATCTGGATCCACATTGGAAAAGAGACCTTCTTTGTCTCAAGTCCAGAGCCGGAATGATTTTTTCAATCTCTTGAAGAAGAAAACCTCAATGAACAGTTCAATTACTCTCCCAGATTCAGGCCCTATCATTTCATCTCCCACTATGGAGAAATCAGGTGAACTAACTGGGGAAGTATTCAGTGACCCTGCGAGCCCTCACGCGATTGAAAATGGTGGTGAGGTGACTGTGAATGGTGATAGCTCTGAAGAGGTTCAGAGGTTTTCTGATACTGGCCCTAGTGTGGCAGTTTATCCTGATGAGGAAGAGGCTCGTTTCCTTCGATCTCTTGGATGGGATGATAACCCTTGTGATGATGGTGGTCTTACAGAAGAAGAGATAAGTGCATTTTATGACCAGGTACAGAACTCTTTCTTCGCTCCACTAAGGGTTTTGATCTAGCTTGCTCCAAGAATGGGACCACTCAAGCTAATAGAATTGGGCAGAACTAAATTTAAATAATTGTGTCCAGGAAACAAAATAGGTGCAATGCTTTGTCGTTGGTTATTATTTCTGTATTAAGCCTTGATAAAAGAAAAATAATTTTTTTGTACTATTTAGTCTTGTTTTGAACTCTTATTATAGATCTATATATGTTGGTGCTTTTGGAGTTGGTTATTAATGTCACTATTTGCTATATGCCAAATAGGTTTCTGCAGTTGAACATATTCTGTTTAACAATTTGCTAATGCATTTTATTAACTCTTTGGGTGTGCTCTTCTGTATGCAGGTCCTGAAATCAAGGCCATCTTTGAAACTTTGCCGAGGCATGCAGCCAAAGCTTTCTACGCTGTCTGAATCTCGTGCAACTAATTTGGGCGGGGCTCGCTCTGACTTGAGCTCATCTGACTCTGGGTCTGAAGCTTGATTTTCTTTTTCCTCACACATAGATCCAAGAATTTTCAATTTTTTTGATGGCAGATGGTTAGTCTCTTTTCTCTTTTGTTTTGGAGAAAAAAAAAAAGCTGATGAGTTTGGTATGAAAGAAGAGACTGAGTTTCGGTTAAAACTCTGCATTCTGCAAATAGTGCAATAAGTTACAGGTGCCCCCGATCCTGTCTGCCTAAAATGGTTTTTGTTTAGGTTTAAAATTTTATGGGGGAGGGGTAGGGTAGGGGCTATTTTGTCTGCAGTGGAAGAAGAATGAGAAATTGATATTTTGGTGTATTTTGGTCCTTTTTCTTCCTCTTTTTTTCTTTTTTTTCTTTTTCTTCAGGAGGGTTTTCATTCTACAAGAAAAAAGCTTATGATGTTTTTGGTCAATTTTACGGAAAAGAAGAAATCAAAAAGGTTTATTTTTAGTTTTAGTTCATCTTGGTATGAATGTTTATGCATAGTCATTCATTAATATTTTCGTTAGATCAGTTCATGTTATTATTTGATGGCCCTAATTACATATGAATAATGGAAATAGAAGAAATGTATTCAAGATTTTATTTTCCAATCTAGAACAAATCAAACTAAACGACTGCCAAAAAAGAAAAGGATGATGAAAAAAAACAAAGCCTACAATTGGTAAAACCACAAACAAGAATGTTTGAAAATTGGATATTCAAAGTAGAAAAATTTGGGTGTGTTTACACAGGTGAAATAGGTAGAAGGTACTTTCAGTGCTTTTTAGGAGAATTACATCGTTTCTAACAAAGTTTTGGCAGCAGGCTTGAACCTTAAAACTCCACTCTTCCATATGACTTGAGTTATGTTTTATGTTCAACAAAAATACCATTAAGCGCAACAGCGCACGTTTGGAATTGCCTCTCTAAGGAGCACTTTCGCTTAAAAAAAAAAGTGACCACTAACAAGATGCCATCATAGGACTTTATTTTTTTTGGGCCTACAAGGTCTGGCGGGAAACGCAACACTTTAGGTTTATTATATAATAAAAAGTAGCGTTAGGTAACTGCATCATTTTCCTTTTGCTTTTTAATTAAAAAAGTGGGGAGAAGGAGAGCAGAAAATACATAGAATATTATGAAGGCAAATCAAAAACAGTTTTGAAGTGTAGTTCTAAGTCTTCCCCCTCTCTCTCACCTCTCTCCCATCTCTCCTCTTTCCTATCAAGATGACAACCACCCGATTGCTTACCTGACTCTTGTTGCCCAAATTCCCGTCAAAACGGAATCCGACATCCGTTCTTTTGCTTGACTCGCCCAGTTTTGTACAAATTGCAACATGAAAGTATGTTCTTGCATGCACTGATGCGCGGTTGTGCTCCCCGTATCTATAGTTCGATTCAAAATATTAAGCACAAAATTTATGAATTGATTCCAATGCGTGACCCATACTTGCATAGAGACATAACTAAATGAATCATCATGACCAAGTCATTTGATGTAATCAATGTTTTATCATAAGCCCTCGCATCATGCGGGGTTGTGAAGTAACGTACGAAAGATAAGGCAAACAAACTCAGATTTTGAAAAGGCATTGCCTTAGTTTTAGCAATTTAAACAAGACTGGTGGGACAATATAAACATTTACAACGGTGAACAATACCTTCCATATTAACTATGGAATTGGAATTCGAACCCAATCTACCATTCATCTTTCTGTCTCCTTGGTCCAAACTGTTTGAAGAAGTTAAATGATACACATACACTTGCGAAATCCAGGTTCCAAAGGAAAAGGTACAGCTCATACATCCCTACTTACTCCGGGTGAGCAGTCCAATAAATTAGCCCACTGCAGGAAACAGAAAATGAGTTAAACTGGCTTGGTAGAACGGTATGGGTTACATAAAAATACATTTTAAAGCATTGAAAGCATTGTAGTGCCTGCATATGTACTTATGCACATTCATGTTCATGCGTGTATGTGCATTCCATTACAGTGATGTCGCTCATCGATTAGGGTGCCCCCTAGACAGCCAATAGTAGGGTGCCAGAAAATATCATTATTTTACATGTTTAAGACAGAAACAAAACACATTACTTATATTCTGAGACCGACATATATTCGTCGTAAATTCAACAGGTGAAAGCAAAGCTATTGAGAGGCATGAAAGCAAAGGAATTCAATGAGAAATGACTTAGAAATATATCCATGAGACACATACACACAAATAGAGTAAATGTACAACAGCATGCTTATCAACAAGGAGTGCCCCCATTTATAGATCTCAAATACATAAGGGGTGGGGGCGGGGCTCCATAAAAGCAACTTTACCTGATCAACACAAAAACTGATTGCAAGACACCAGCAACTCCTGTCCACACTGGAGGACCAGTTGTCACAAGTGAATCCTGTATTAGCAAACCCACCGATGCCGCTAGAGATACAAAGGCTACAACATAGGCAATGAACAGCCAAAGCTTCAACCTGTGGCAATTCAGAGAAGCAATCAAACAGAAAGAACATCAAATTCTCATAATCCATAGCTTCAAATGATCAAATGAGACAGACCTTACAATCCTGAGCTCAATATCAAGCTCACAGATATGCATAACAATGTGTTTACAGCTTTACATTCAATGGCCAAATATTAAATCATCTAACTAATCATATCATTATCTTATTTCTTGATTTAGAATGGTTAAATCATCTAAGCAAACTAAATTAAGACAATTGCATACACAAATCAAAATCGCAGAAAACAGTCACATTGAAAACTAAATAAGAAGGACTCATGTTCAATTTTAAGCTGTGCAAAAAGAGCAATACTACAATTGCTCACCTCCACTCGCCCTCTTCGTACGGAGAGTAATCAATGTCTTCCTTTTTAACGCAATTGAACATCAACGCCGCCAAAGATGCAAATATGCCTGCAAAAACCACCAATCACAGACACAAATCAAAAACCCTAGAAACCGAAAACATGCAAAAAGAATGATCAAATTGGGTCGGGTCGGGTCGGACCAGGGAGGTAGTGGACGAAGGAGACCTTGACGGAGCTGCAAACGACGGCGTCGACCCAGAACCACCAACCGGCTCCGAACACGGCGCCGGCTACGCCTGGCCCGAAGATCGCCCAAAGCTCCGACACATCCATATGAAACGACGCCGCTTGAACTTGCTTCGGTGGTTATTGGTTCGCGAAGACAAACCGGATCGGGTGCCGCCTACCGGACTGTTCGAAAACCCCGATCTCTGCTTTCTTTTTTGCTTTTCGTCAACTGTGAATTGCTCCACTCTGTTTCTAGTCGATGCTTGAAGCTTCCGTTTTGTCTTTTGTTTTTCTTTTTTGCTTTCTTGGGGAAATGTTAATAATTACGCTTTTAATCCTTGTATTTAGTGGAATTAATTTATTTTTACTTCATGACTCTGCCAAAAATAATAAATTTGGATAAATTAAAAGCTAAAATTTTGCAACCAAAAAAAAAAAAAAACTAAATTCTAAGAATGGCCGCGCACATGTTCACCAAACATTAGTGTCACGCACGTGCATGTGCCACTACATTTATAAAAAAAATTGCGAAGTATATAGAATAAAAATCCTTTTTCTTTTCTTACGAAAATAAATTTCATGAAACTCAAGAACCCTAAACTACGTCAGCTTGAAGCAAATGAGAAAGCCAAAGAGCTCCCTCCCCTCAATCCAAATCTCCCTATCATTACTACTCGAAGCATGTGCATCCAAACTAGATCAATCAACTGTGGAAATTACTCCTCGTAATCAATCTAATTCTTAATTTTGTATATCTTAAATTATGAATTATAATATAAAATTCACCTGCTTTTTTATTTTATATGTCTTAATAAACGAATAATAAAGCATGAATTATAATAATTTCAATATTTATTGACCAACAAAAAATCAATATAAATATGTAACATAATTTGAAGAATAGTACAACATAATTTGATTTGATCAAATCTTTGTTCAAAGCATATGTTAATAAGAATTTGAATATGAATTCATAGATTTTCATCTCTTTTGTGACTTGGACCAAAACTTATCGATACTAATAATTATATCATGATCGATAAAGTCTATTGTAGCCTTATTTAGTTAAGCCACATTGCACATGCACTCAAACAAATTCAACTCACTAAAAATCAATTTTTAACATGTGAATGTATGATTTGAATTATGTTCGTCTTGTGTGTGCGACTATTACTTTTGTTATTATCTTTTATTTGTTTCCAATTTAGAACGTGTTGAAGAGTTAAGATATTGCGTTTGTTTGCATTTGCCTTTTATCATAACTTGATGTTCGTTTTTCAAGTTCTTATATAGTAAGAACTTTAAAATGTTTCAGATTAATTTGAGATATCACGTTTGTTCACATTTACCTTTTATCATAACTTGATTTTCGTTTTCGAGTTCTATATACTAAGGACTTTAAAACGTTTTAGAATAATTTGAGATATTGTGTTTGTTCACATTTGCCTTTTATCATAACATAATTTTTGTTTTCAAGTTTTTATATAGTAAGGACTTTAAAACTTTTTAGATTAATTTATATTAAAGCTTGTTGTATGTTTTTCGTTTAATGGTTGTATTAATGACTATTTAAATTTTATTGAAAAAGAAAGATACTCAAAATTATTTTTAGTTTTAATTTCTCTTGTATTTTCCGATAAATCATTAGGTTATTCTTCGCTAAGCGGAGACAATAGCATATTTAGCATATACTAGTAATTTTTAATATTTAGGAGTCTCGTATGCTCCGAACCATTACCATTTTCTTGATAAAATAGATAAGTTAATGAAATTGTGTAAATATAATATTGCATTATTTGAACAAAATTTCCAATTAATTAATTTTAGGGTTATTCGCAGCAATAGTCCCTCAACTATACCCGTAGTTACACTTTGGTCCATCAATTCAATTATTAGTTGCCGGAGTCACTCAACTAGGTGCTTTGTTGCACCAGTAGTTCTTCCGTTAAGTCTGTTAAATTTTCTGTCAAAAGTGAGGGTAAATTCGGAAATTCATGATAAGAAAATATTTTAAAACCTAAAAAAGACATGGCCCTGGAACTCCTCAACGTCGTCGTTTCGGGGAATGGGTCTGTGGCGTCTTCGTCTTCATCGTCTTCGCACCACGCATCAAGGTACATCGTGCACCCCGGCACAACACAAGGCTTTGCCGCATACCCATTTCCTTCCTCTCTCTCGCTCTCTATACTCGCGCTTAGGCTTGGCTACTCTATCTCTCTCTCTTCGAACCTCCATTTCTCTCTGTATTTGTTTGATCTTGTGCTCTCTTCTGATTCAATCTCTCTGTAATTGCGCGTGCGTGTTTGTAAATGGCTGCCGCGAGGATCGAGGGTGGCGATTTGTGGAAGAACAAGGCCCTGTCCATACAGCTCTGGCTCAGGGAGCGGTTCATAGTGGAGGTGGACCGCCGGCTCAAGCTCCACCCTATTTGTACAGACGACGGTTACTTCTCAAATCAAAGCTTTGGTTATCAAGGCTTTGAAGGAGCCCGAGCGCTACCGCAAGAAGACTAAGAACATCAAGCACAGTGGAAACATCTCTCTAGAAGATCATGAAGCACAGATCCATGGCCAAGGAGCTTGCCGGCACGGTGAAGGAGATTCTTGGCACCTGCGTATCCGTCGGGTGCACGGTCGACGGCAAGGACCCTAAGGATTTGCAATAGGAGATTGCCGATGGTGATGTTGAGATCCCTCTTGACTGGGCTGTTGCTGTGAGGCTCTTTCTTTTTCTTTTGCTGAATTAAATTTTTGTTTAAGGGTATGTCGTTTTGGATAATTTGTGGATTAATTTGGAGTACGTTATTAAGATCGTTAATCACGCTTTTTATGGCAATTTAGATGAGTTGGAGGGTTTTTGTAACCCAGTTTCTTAGTTGTGTTCATTTGATTGTTGCTATTGTGTGCTTTGTGTGTCGATTTTAGTATGAATGGTCATATGTTGAATGCAAAATGCGGTAGCTTTGGTAAAGGGTTTTGATTTGAGCTTCCAATAATGGAAAACCATAGCTTTCTTGAGTTTTAATAACAATTTCAAGCTTGAAATTTGAGGATACCCAACCAGGCAACTCCTACAGCCTGTTGCTCCCCATTTGAGTTCAAGGAGCTGAAGAAGGCTAACTGAAAAGTCAGATTTGCCCCTCACGAATCTATGAGATTCTCAAAGATGCTTGCCACGTTATCATTTTAAACGGAAAAAACTAACAGACTTGACGGAAGGACTACTGGTGCAACAAAACACCTAGTTGAGTGACTCCGGCAACTAATAATTGAATTGATGGACCAAAGTGTAACTACGGGTATAATTGAGGGACCATTGCTGCGAATAACCCTTAATTTTAATATCATAAAGTTGAATAATCACAAGTACAGAAAGTGATTAAGCACTGAGAAAAAAGGGAGTGAAAAAGGTAAGAGCAATTGCCAAATTAGACAATTGACTCGGTGAACGATTCCCATCACTCGATCCTATAAATGAATGCCACGCGTAAAGCTTTGGCACTGCACGAGTTCAAATGTGTTGCGTCACTCTATGCTAGAAAGCCCCCACGTATAAAAAATATCTCCTAAAACGTACCGTCCTCACTCACTGCCTGCAAAAAACGCGAATCTCTCTCTCTCTCATTTGCGAAGAAAAAAAACAAAAAAAGAAGGAAACCCACTCAAAAAAACGGATCCAAAAGAATACGAACCAGAATATAAACCGTAAACCCTAGCCCTAGCCCAGCCGCGACTTACCTTACCCATCCGCTCTCTCTCTCTCTCTCTCTCTCTCTCTCTCTCTTCGTCGCTCACTCTAATACGAGTTTTCGAATTAGGGTTTGGGTTTTCTGTTAGCTGCATGTCAGGGCTTCGTCCACCAGGGGTCGATTAGGATTGAAATTTATAATTTTATTTATAATTTTAGGGTTAGGGTTAGGGCTAGGATTTCGGTGATGGGATATATGGTTGGTTGTGGGTTGCGGGGTTGTCGGTGATGACCGGAGGCCGATGTCACGAGGAGAAGAAGATGATGGGTAGGGGTGCGGACGGAGGTTGCGGCACGGAGGAGAGGCCATGCCCAATTTCTAGGGTTCCGCCTAAAATTCAGCCGACCCAACCGGAAATTCCCGAGAAGTCTAGCTCTTTGAGAATTGATTTTTACTCGCAGGCCAAGAAGGCTTTGTGTGAGCGCTCTCCGTATGATGTTACCGATGATGGTTCAGCTTCGAGTGTGCCCACCACCTTGCCTAGGAGCTTGGCTAGCTTCTTGTCGAGGCAGTCTGATAATCGGAAACGGCACAAGAAGTCGCATGCCGGTGCTGAAAAGAAGAGTTCTCGGCAGAGCGAGAGGTCGCGGGGTTCGAACATATGGGCGGAGACTGAGGACTACTTTAGACCCTTGACATTGCCTGATATTGACACCTTGTGTCAGGTGTCTGAGCTTAGTAATTTAGCTGCTCGCAAGTGTTTTTTGATTCCGGTTTTGGGAAATGGTCCGAGGGTGAATGCATATGAAAACGTCAAAGCAAATGGGATTTTTGTAAGTGAGGAGAATGCAAATGCTGGTAATTCAAATAGTGTTGCTGTCAAGGATGAGAGTATAAATGGCGGGAATGCTAATGATGCTGTTGTCAAGGAGGACAATGCAAATGTTGGGAATGCTAATGAGGTTGTCGTCAAGGCTGAAAGTGCAAATGATAGGAATGCCATTTCTGTTGCAGTTAGAAACGTGAATGAGAATGGTGGAAATGAAAATGGAGTCGTTGAAGATGAGGTCAAGAGGGTCAAGGATGAGCATTCCATGGAAATTGATAGTGTGGGAGCTTCTGGGTTGCCTGAGGGGGAAAAGGGTAGTTCGATTTCAGATTCTCCTTATGGTCTTGAGTGGCTTTTAGGATATAGGAATAAGATTGCTTTAACATCAGAGCGCCCTTCAAAGAAACGGAAGGTTCTGGGTGTTGATGCAGGGTTGGAGAAGGTCTTAATTGGTTCCCCTTGTGATGGGAATTCATCTTTATGCCATTTCTGCTGCATGGGCGATGCAGGTAAAGAATCAAACCGATTGATTGTTTGTCGTTCTTGTAAGGTTGGAGTTCATCGGAAGTGCTATGGAGTGGTAGAGGATGTAGATGCATCATGGGTATGCTCATGGTGTAAGCAGAAGACTGATACTAGTAATTCAGTAAAGCCTTGTGCGCTTTGTCCAAAGCAGGGTGGGGCTTTAAAGCCAGTTCTTAAGAGTATTGAAAATGGTGGATCCGTGGAGTTTGCTCACTTGTTTTGTTGTCAGTGGATGCCTGAGGTTTATATAGAGGACTTAGTGAAGATGGAGCCCATACTAAATGTTGGAGGCGTGAATGAAACCCGCAGAAAGTTAATATGTAATGTATGCAAGGTGAAGTGGGGCGCATGTGTTCGATGCAGTCATGGTATTCTTTGTTGCTTTACTGTCTTATACAATTATCATTTCTGTTTTGGCTGGCATGCCAATGGAATGCTCCCGTTATTGGTATATGTGCTTAGTTCTCCATCTATTAGACTTACTTGAGAGTTGTCCTGGAATTTAGAACATACAAATATGGTGTTGCATTGTTCTGTTAACACCCCACATGTACTTTGTGCTGTAAGGTTTTGCCCCCACATACGATAAATCCACGGGAAGTGGGGAGCTAGTAATCTATGTTCAAACTGATTTCGTAACTTTGCGTGTAAAGTGGGAAATGATTTTATCTTTTTTTACTTTATAATATATTTAAATTATAGTTAGTTTTATTTAAAATATTCTGCAAAAAATAAACATCACGAAAATATAGGATGTTGCACCAATTGCTAAAATTTGCTTTTATATATTAGTACGGATTTTAGATGTACTTTGTATTTATGTGGAGTTCTGCCAAAATATTATTACTATTTTCTTGTCCTTGAATTACAAGTTTTCGTTCAGTGAAAGAATTAAATAAGCGAGCCTGCTCTAAGTTTTGTTGCAAAGTAATTTTATGCTCCCTTGCCTTTTTGGATCTCTGTGTTATGGAAAATGTTAGCAATAATATTTCTTTGTTAATCATATTGTTTATAAGATGTTGTCTCTCTCCTCGCCCCACTTGCTGGGTAAAACTCTCTCTTGACCGAACGTAACTTCATTTGGCAATGTAACTTAATAGTTGTCTGTGAGATAAGTTGGACTGAATGGTCTAAACATGCTTCTTGCAATTTCATTTTCTGGAAGTGTCTGAGGAACATTTTGTTTCTTTTGAGTGATGCTCTTTTTTGGCATGATACTTACATGGGTGGTCTTTGCCATGCTACTTTTATGCGAGCTAGATTTCCTGTCTCTGGTTTTTAGGTTTGTGATCATTTGCAGGCTTAAAAACCTTAATATTTTCTTATATTGTGGGGGATCAAGGTTTAGTTCTTAAAAAATTGCACATTTATTTTTAACCAGTTCGCTGTTCAACTATTAAAATATTGTTGAATTGACTTTTGGATTACATTCGCTCAGATAATGTTTTTTTTTTTTGGCTTGTTGTTCAGGAACTTGCAGAACTTCATTCCATCCATTATGTGCGAGGGAGGCAAAACAAAGAATGGAAATTTGGGGAAAATATGGGTGTGATAATGTAAGAGTTCTATGTATGTGTTTGAGAATCGTAATCTTATAATTGTTGTTGTGACTGGTGTCTAGTATTGCTATGTTTTTTTTGTCTTAAGTGACAGCTTATGACTGTGATCAGGCTTTCTAACTGAAGATCTAACCTTTGATAAACATGTAGGTTGAATTGAGGGCCTTCTGTCCAAAGCACTCAGAAGTACCTGATAACAGAAACATTCAATTAGTAGATCCCCCTGTCTCTACTGACGGGAATGCAAATGTCTCCAACCATTTACCCGTGGCGTTGTCAGAGAGCAAATTAAACAAGTTAAGGGTTGGCCGTAGAAATGGTGATAAAATTGCAGTCGCTATTGAGGCTCCAGATATTAGTTCTGAGAAATTGGGTGATTGTGAATCACAGGAGATAGTGTTTCCTAGTTCAAGATTAAATGCTAGACTTCAGTCGGATTGTAGTGATGCAGAGCCAATTATTGATGCAGGGTCATTTGAGAGGAGCAGTGAGGATGTTAATGCATCCAGCTCCCATAATTTTTCTCTGATTTTAAAGAAGGTAATGTGTACTTGAGGTTCACTTACTTCTCAACACATTTGGAATTCACCAGCTTGTCTTAATTCTTACATTTTTTCTCCTGCAGCTGATTGATTGTGGAAAAGTTAATGTGAAGGATGTGGCATCAGACATTGGCCTTTCACCTGATTCTTTAGCTGCATCACTTGCTGTAATGCAAACTAGATAATTAATTTTTTTATTTTCTTAATTAGTTTCTAAAATAGTTTAAGCAGGTATATGTTTTTTCCTCAAAATTTTCTTTTGTGGCCTTTTCCTGCAGGATGATAGCATGTTCCCTGATGTGCAATGCAGAATAGTTAAATGGCTTAAAGACCATTCTAACTTGGACTTAAGGCAGAAAAATGGGAAAATGAAATTAAGATCAGCAATTTCATCCATGGCTGAATATGGGGGTTCTGATGGTTCTGATGCTGCATCTTTATCAGAGTCTGATATGACAGATGTAGCTGTTAAGTCAGTACCCCCACGGAGAAGAACCAAAAGTAGTTTTAGGATTTTGAAGGACAACAAAGTAATAAGCTCATCTGAGGGGATCTTTTGTGACAATGGCACTTTGAACAAGAATAAGGTAGATCAAATGATCACTGATGAACAAGAAAATTCAAGTAAAGTCTCCATCCCTGATCCCGTTGAGAAGGTAATAAATTATTTGAGAGAAGGTGGTTATGCAAGCCTTCTGACTATTGCTTGTGACTACTAGTGTAATCTGATTCCTGGTTCGGTCGTATGATGGAAGGGCATTATATGTAAATATTGGGTGTGATGTGGTTAAGTGTTTCACCAACTTCAGTTTGGTTTTAGTTTGTCATCTACAATGTTCAAGAGTTCTGTAATAAATTAGGAAATGGCCCAGCCTTCAAGGCTTCCATGAGGAAGGGCTTTCTCCGTTATAACACATGGTAGCAGTTTATTTTCGAAATGGTCTGGGGATGTTTGTTGTCTACTTGTAGGTTTAGTTGAAGTGAGTATGCTTAAGGTTACATGGGTATTGAACGTTATAAATGTTATGATAGTCTTGCTGCAGTAATAAGGATTGTAAGAAATATTTATTCGGAGGTTTAAAATGAAATTTGTCAGTGATTGTGGAACTCTGATTCACTTGAGTGTGGCTCGGAATGAAACACTGCTTGCCCTCTCTTTCTTGCTTTCTCTCCACCCACCCTCCCTACCCCCCTCTCCTCTGTCCCTTCATTCCTCTCTCCTGAGTCCTGTGTTATGCCTCAGTTATTCAGACCTTTGTTTCTAACAATTTTCATGTTTTTGCAGAATTTGACGGAGGCTGATGGGTTTCAGCATTCTTTGCCGACGCTTACACCTAAATCAGAAGGTACTCATCTCTGTTTCTGCTGGTTAGATGTCTTCATACCATCTTATCAAGTAAATGAATGGTTGAAGATTTTTGTTTTTCATGTGCATGTTGATTGACTAGGTCAGACTTTAAATTCCTGGTTCTGGGGAGATTCCAGATTAGGTTCACATAGCGAATCTCTTTCATAATAGTGTCCTCCAACTTAAAATTTATAGATTCAGTAAATAGGTGGAGTCTTGGAGTGAATTTGAATAGGACTCGGGAAGTGGTGAGGCTTACAATCGTTGTAGTTGCAGCTTATAGCTAAAGAGAGTTATTCTACTACTGAATTATTTTGGATTTGAGTACAGGAAATACCAGTTACATTCCTGTACAGGAATTTGGATATGAATTGTGTTGCTATTTCTAGTTGTTTTCTTCCATTAATTTTTGTTCTATGTTCTATTTGCTCTGCTTTTCTAGAAATTTGTTGTTGTATCTTGGTTCATTCTGTGTTGCACTGTTGCATACATTGATACCTTTGCATCATTGAAGTAGTTATTGGCGTCTCTTTTGACATGCAAAAATGGTTTGATGGACAGGTAATTCAGCTAAACCCTTAAATTGCAGCATTCTGCAAAAGGGTCAAGAACAGCTGGCTACTATTCCTTTGCAGAGTACCTCAGTGATCGTAAATGAAGATCAGTCGTTTTCAGTTGCAAAACCAGTTGATCCTGAAGTCAAGTAAGTTTTTTTTTTTGGCAAATTGTCAAATCGTTTTTTTGTTTTGTTTTGTGATTTCATGAGAACTCCTCTGAATCTTGCAAATGCACGTTTGCAGTAAATCTGAGCCAGAAGTTCCTAGTTGTTATGTCCATCCGTATATTGAAAAGAAATTGTTTGAGATGCAGAATGGGGAAAATCCAATATATGGTAATGATGGTAATGAATTTTTTTTTGTTTCCCTTTTGTTGCTATGGGTGAGTTTTGACAGGTAAGTTATTTGGCAGGTTCAAGCGAGGGAGAAATTTCTCGTTTGGAGGCATCTTCCCATGCCAGTGTTTGCTGTAATCACCAATATAAGCATCCAAAATGCTGTGATAATATTTGTAAATCTGATGAGGTAAATTTAGAAGAGTTGGTTAAGGCTCGAAAAATGGGAGCTCGAGAACCGTCTCCAGAAGATGAAGTGGAAGGAGAACTCATTTATTACCAGAATAGGTTGCTCAGCAATGTAGTTTCGAGAAAGCATTTTACTGGTATATGTGTTGCTCTTCAATCCTCTGTTACTTTTATTTTCAGTGTTCCCTGCCTCTGGTAGGGGCCTTCAAAAGTTTGTATATTGATGTTTGATATTGATATATCTAATTAACATCTATTGTATATGCATTCTCTTGCAGATATTTTAATATATAATGTTGTTAAGACTCTTCCATGGGAACTTGATGCTGTACGGAGGCAAAAATGGGATGCTGTGCTTGTTAATCAGTATCTTTGTGAGCTTAGAGAGGCAAAGAAGCAGGGTAGGAAGGAGAGACGGCATAAAGAAGCACAGGCTGTGCTTGCAGCTGCAACTGCTGCTGCTGCAGCCTCTTCTAGGATTTCATCATTTAGGAAAGATGTCCTTGATGAATCTTCCCATCAGGAGGTTAATGATTTTTTAATTTTGTCATTAAGACTTTGGCCCTTTATTGTGTCATTTATTTATGTGGTCATTTTTTTTCTCTGCAGAATGTGATGAAGTTGAATACTTCTAGTGGGAGGTCTGGCTTTTCCTCACAGCTGATGCATCGGGCGAAAGAGACATTTCCGAGGGTGGCTGTCCCTAGGATTTCTGTGGAAAAACACACTGGTTTTGTTCATTCTGTTGCAGATTTTTCTAAAGAACATCCTAGATCTTGTGACATCTGCAGACGTTCTGAGACATTGTTAAACCCGATCTTAGTCTGTTCCAGTTGCAAGGTTATCTTCTCTTTCTTTTGGGTTTAATTTCATGAAACTTGCTACTTTGCTTGGGTTATAACTTATAACCAAGCCGTTTTTTTTACAGGTTGCCATTCACTTGGATTGCTATCGTAGTGTTAGAGAATCTACAGGTCCGTGGTACTGTGAATTATGTGAAGAACTATCATCATCTAGAAGCTCTGGAGCTCCTGTCAATTTTTGGGAGAAAGATCATTTTGCTGCAGAATGTGGTTTATGTGGTGGCAAAACTGGGGCTTTTAGAAAATCTTCTGATGGTCAGTGGGTGCATGCCTTCTGTGCTGAGGTAAAATTTTCTCTTGTTGTGCACATGAACAATGTCAATTAGGTTTTTTTTTTTAGTTTTAAATACTTTTTGAGAGAAGAAATTGATGTTATTTGCTGTTTCATCTGGTAGTGGATCTTTGAATCAACATTCAAAAGGGGGCAAGTATCTCCCGTTGAGGGAATGGTATGTGTATATAAAATGCTGTGGCAATCACAATTTTGAACAATTTAAATTACTTTTGTTTTCGCTGAAGATCTTTTCTTTGCCATGAGCATTGAACTTAATATTCCAGCAAGTCTAACGCTTAATGTTAATCTGTTATGGTGCCAGGAGACGATTTCTAAGGGGATTGATTTTTGTTATATCTGCCGACGCAAATTTGGTGTTTGCATAAAGGTAAGAGTTTAACATCTTTTTAGCTTGCGATCTTATGCTTTGACTGGCAAGGGCTTTTTATATTCACCTTTTTATTATCTTACAATTAGGATCACTGACAGTTAGGCATCTGTATTATTATTATTATTTTTTTGCAGTGCAACTATGGTAACTGTCAGGCAACATTTCACCCTTCATGTGCTAGAAGTTCTGGTTTTTACATGCATGTGAAAACTTTGGGCGGAAAGATTCAACACAAGGGGTACTGTGAAAAGCACAGCGTTGAGCAGAGGGCGAAGGTCTATATTTTTATTTACTTAAAAGTCTCCATCCTTTTGATGGTTTATGATATGTTATGTTTATTTTCTTGGATATTGAACTTATGCAGGCTGAAACACAAAAACATGGAACTGAGGACTTGGAGAACCTCAGGAAAATTAGGGTAAGAGCTATTCTTACAGTAATTACTGCTGCTCATATACTTTTCTATGTCCACAATTACATGAAAATATCAAACAGAAGATTGAAGCGCAAAGCATATACCAGTGTATAGCTTTGCTTGTGTGCGCTTACGTGAAAATGTGGGTTCAAGGTCTTTATATCTCGCTATTATGCTAAGCAAAAATACTTCCTTCTACTCAAAAAAATGCAGCACCCTTTTGGCTTGAATTATTCTCATGATAAGCTGGTTCGGAGATCCACTTGGAGTATCTCCACATTCACTTAGCAGGGACACAAGAAGTTCTTTGGTGTTAGTTTACTCTTGGTATATTCTTATATCAGAGATTGAATTTTTATCTTTTAATTAGTCAACTACCTGCCATTAGGTTTACAGTGCCCTTCGTTCTCCAAGTGACTGATCTGGATTTTGATATGAAGTTTCTTTGGGGCTTGACTTGATGCAAATACCTGAATGCTAAAGATGATTCAAGATATTATAGGTTAGGAATTGGAACTGTTAGTAAGGCAGACAGTTCACGTATTGAAAATGTGGAGTTTTCAATTTCATGCTTCTAAAATAGAAAGGAGTTTTGATGTATAATTATGGTCGTTAGGCATGTGGTCAATGTTCTTTACCTCAGTAGCATCAACACAATTTTCTTCTTATTCTCATACCATGTACTGAGTGATCTATTTTTTGTTGTCCATAATTGTGTCTTTGACACGTGATATTTTGATTGTTTATAGAACTGAATTGCGTGATTGAGTTGTTACATGAATGGTCCTGTGCAGGTTGAACTAGAGAGGGTACGCCTTCTTTGCGAAAGAATCATCAAACGAGAAAAAGTAAAGGTGAGGCATTTTCATGGTTACTGCTTTGTTGGCCTTTCAAGCTCTTGGCTGCATATGGGCTAGGATGACCTGCTTACCTCATGAATTTGTTATATGGTGCATCTTTAAAATCAATGGCCCATGGCCCATGGCTAAGAACTCAGGACCTACTTCACTATTTAAGAAGGAAATTGTTGTAGGAGTGTTTCTCAATTGGAATGGTGCTGTCTCATAGAAGTGTGCTGCTTCTCTTCTATGTGGGGTGGGGTTTGTGATTCTGCTTTGCAGGTGTTCTGAATGGGGTTTGCAACCTTTTCCGCTCTTGGTTCAAGATTTTTGCGTGTTTCCCTTTTGTGCACCTATAAAGTTTGGGACATTTTGTATGTACACACATTTGTAAAGCCATTGGAGCGGGACTAAGCACATAATTTCTACCGAACTGTTTATGGCATTGGTTCAATGCCTCTTGCTGAAAGGGCTTCATGTTGCCTCTCATTGATACATGCATGTTGGACCAAGTTGTATTTTCATATAATCTACCCAGTCTCCCCTTTTGTCTGTGGCCATGCTTTTCCTCCAACAGATTCTTTGCTGATGTGTATGTGGTTATAAGTTTACGTGTTACCTTATGTCTTACCCTGGTGGATGTAGAGTAAAAAAAATCTATGGTTTTGGATGTCGATGTCTTCGATGGTCTTCTGTTGCATAATCTTCATGTAATTCTGTGATGGTACTTATCTGTTTAAGGAATTCATGCTAAGTAAGTTTTTTGTTTTAATTTTAAATGCAGCGGGAACTGCTCATTTGTTCACATAATCTTCTTGCTGTGAGGAGAGATCATGTTGCTCGATCCGTGCTGGTTCATAGTCCTTTCTTGCTACCTGATGTTAGTTCTGAATCAGCTACAACATCTCTTAAAGGACATACAGATGGTTACAAATCATGCAGTGAGGCATTTCAAAAATCAGATGATGTGACTGTGGACAGTACAATTTCCGAAAAGCGACGGACCAGAGTTCTGATAACTATCGACAATGATCAAAGGACAGATGATGACAGCTCCACATCCCAAGATCATTTTACTCCAAAGCTCACAGAGAGGGCACAATTTTCTGAGAAACAGATTCCTTGTAGACCTTCTACTGCTGCAAATTGTAATATTTCGGAAGACGGGGGATGGAGGTCAAAATCTAGGAAGGTAATTTACATTGCATCCTTGACTAGTCTTCTTTATTATACTTGTATATATATGTTAATTAAAACCATAGTTGAGAGACTTATGCCAACTGTAAATCTTCAACTCACAGCATGCTGAGACATTTGAGAAAGAACTGGTAATGACTTCAGATCAAGCGTCGATGAAAAATATGCTATTACCCAAGGGATATGCATATGTCCCTGCGGATTGCATTCCAAATGAAAAGCAGATCAACCAGGATGCTTGTTCTGGTGAACCCCCAGAAGGAGATGGGTAGTGTGGTGCAACTTTTGGTTTGTGTTTGATCTGTCCTTTCGGAGCACAAAAGGACCACAATGCGAGTATTCTCTGCCCACCATCCCAGACATCACAGCCGTCCCTGGAAACCGCCACGTTTATCAGTTTCAAAGGGAAATGGCCGAGTGAAAGATGGAGGCTAGGCTCTTGCCGATGTATTCATAGTAAGGAAGCCACATTTTGGGTAGGGATGTGAAGTTTTGGTGTCATTGTTGTATATTCTTGTGAGAATTCGACTGTACAGTGGGTGAGGGTTTATTCCTTTTACGTGTATTAGAAGAAGGCATATGGATTTTATATCTTGATGCCTGCCTTTGGGTTCGCGGAGTAAAGAGAATCTCCTGCTTGTAAACCGCGTACAAGAAATTAAAGCGTATCACCCACTGCCCATGCCCTGTAAAGTTATTGTATATATCCTTACAATACCAATCCTCAAATACCAACCCTCAAATGCATCAGATTAATCGATCGTTTTATATTCGAACGATCCATGATCCACAAAGTTGTTCTTGATGCCTCTTTTAAGTTTTCTCAGCCTGACTCAAGTCTTTAGGTTGATGGTTATCACTTGAATTTGCTGGGTTTGTGGGCAATGCTGGTGCATATTGCTTGGTTTGAAATGTTGTACTGTATCATTTGGTAAGAATAAAGAGTCGCTATGTTTTGTGGTTGCATTCTGATCCCTGATTTTTAAGTTCAGTAATGTATCTCAGTTTTTTCCTTTTCTTTTCATCTTTTTTGTTCGTCTTCCCTTCTCGTAAGGAGCTACTCTTGTGTCCTTTGCTTGCGTAAAACAAGGGAAAGCAATTTGTAGAATTTTGAAAGGAAAACATTTGCCTTCTTCCCTTTCGTGAAGCATGAGCCTTTACTTTAGTGCCAATTACAGTTTGACATGTGTATTCTTTTTATGTTTTTGCATGTGTCTAAATGTGATGAGGTAGAGGGATCAATGTTTCCTTCCAAAAAAGAGGCAGGTAATGTACATTTTAAAATAAAAATATCTTCTATAGGAAAAAGATTAAAAGATTAAAAGATTCTGAAGAGAGGTAAAATTGGTTCTATGAATTTCAATTTAACCTTTGGTGCAAGTGTAACCCATTTTTTATTGGCTTAATTATTGTTTTACCCATGGACCAGAAGCTCAATCTCAATTTATCCTCTGAAATTGAAAATTTTTCACGTAACTTTCATAATCTCTAAAAATTGCTGAAGTTTTCTCCCTTTACCACTTTCGTCCATTTCCGTCCACAAAACTATTAGATGTGCTGATGTTATATGGGCATTTTAGTAATTTAGTTCCTCTATCATCTTTATTTGCCTCTCTCACTCTCACTCCCTCTGCCTCTCTCTTCTCTCCCCTCCCCTCCCTAACCCCATCGCACCCCACCCCCTTCTTTCTCATGGCCCCAATCCACCAGATTCAAGTGAGTTTGTTTTTAATGATATTAAAGGAAATATAAGTGGGAAGTGGGAAGGCGGGCAACGATGGTGGGGAAGGGGAGTGGGGTGGCTAGGTTGGGTGCTTTGGGGATGGGGGTGATTGAAAAGGGAAGAAGGGGATGGAGGTGAGAGCTAGTGAGCTGACGGGAAGGGAAGAAAGGGAAGAGGGGGTTTTGTTAACCCTAAAAAAAATTAAGACGTGTATTTTTTTAATATTTAATTTGGACTTAATCTATATATATATAACAAAAGACAGAGAATAGTGAAACATTCAAAATACCAGAAAATGCCCTTGGTTAATTCAAACATTAAGAATTAAAATTATTAATTAAATGAGGATAATATGGTAAATTCACAATACAAAATTAAAATTAAAAACAAAATCAGATAATGGATCCTACTTTTATGGAAAATAACTCCCCATTGTTTCTTTTCTTAATTCTAAAAACAAAACAAAAACAAAAAACCAATTGGTACACGCGTGAGCGTGTGGCAAGGGGCTAGTAGTTTTAAAATAGTTAAAATTACTAAAATTCCCATGTCACATGAGCACTTGTGGACGGAAATGAACTAAAGTGATAAAGTGAAAATTTCATCAGTTTTTAGAGATTCTGGGGGTTAAGTGAAAAAATTTCAGTTTCAAAGAGTAAACTGAGACAGAGAGTCTATTCTTGGGTAAAACAGTAAGGGCTCATTTGAGATTGTTTCTCTAGGAAGCACTTCTGCTTATAAACTCTTAGAAGTGCTTTTATTATAAAGATGTTGAAAATTTCATAAGAAATCGAAGTGATTCCTGAAAAAGCATTTGGGAGTGCTTTATGAAGAAGCACATGACATATGCTTCTCCAGAAAGCGCTTATATGGCCCATAAGAGCTTCTAAACTTTTATGTTAAACGTTATCAGAAGTGCTTTTAGCCCATCCATAAAGCACTACCAAACGGGCCTTAAGTAAATGGTTCTTATTTTATCATTGCCCATGATTTATGGCCCAACCCATGGACTCGGCCCATAGATCTTCTGGCTTAATCCCCGCTGTAATCATCTGGTACCACATTTTCAAAGGCCCTCTGGTCAACCGACAATGGGTTCGATAGGAACACCGCCGAGTGCAGAGAACGGCTCTGCTAACCCCAACCCGGCCACTGCCGCATGCGACGGCGATAGAAAGCCGCAGTCCGTCGATGGCTACCATGCTTCGTCCAACGAAAGGACGCTGGAGTCTGACGTATCGAAGAAGCGAAAGTCGTCGATCCTTCCTCTGGAGGTTGGCACGCGCGTCATGTGTCGTTGGAGGGACTCCAAGTACCACCCTGTCAAGGTCATCGAACGCCGCAGAACGCACTGCGGTGGGCCCAACGACTACGAGTACTACGTCCACTACACTGAGTGTAAGATCCAATTCCTCATTTCTTGCTCAATTTTGCAATTTAGGGTTAGGGTTCGAGTTTTTAGTTTGTTCTATGTTTTTTAGGGTTCCAGTTTTTCTGGATAGATGTGTTCAATTTGCCAATTTGGTGATTTTTCAGCTGGGCCAATAGTCTAATTGGGGACCCAGGTTTTGTAGAGTTGAAGTGTTGGTGAAATTAGTAACTTGCCTTCTGTTGCGGGGGTAATCTCTTAAAATGCCATTGGGGTAGTAGTCTAGTAGAGAATTTAACGAACCGTTACATTACAATGTAGAGTGAGTTACAATGACAGCATATAATATGTTTGGTAAGGTTTTGGAGGAGTGAGGAGTAATATGAATACAGATTTTATATGATGGGAAAAAGGTATTGCCTGGAGCCTAGAGGTGTTAGGCCCGTTTTGGGATTGAATGAATGAGTATTTTATTTGTGGAATGGATTCTACGAGGTATGATGAATCATGAATAAAACCTTGCTCTCACTGGTATGCACATAAACATCATTTCATTTGATTATCTGTGGTGTTCATTTGTTTGATTATCGTAAAAAATGTTATCTTTTGATATCATATAATTAATAGAATAGGCTGAGATCTTATACTGGTGGGATGTAATTAAATTAATCTGTTACAGTTCCAATGAATTCTTAATTATTCTGATATATTTATGTTTGTTCAATTTGTCAGTCAATAGGAGGCTTGATGAGTGGGTGAAACTTGACCAACTTGATCTTGAATCAGTAGAGGCTGTAGTTGATGAGAAAGTGGAGGATAAGGTAACTCTACCCTCTTTGTTATCAACCCTTCTTCAAATGTCCCTCTTGAGTATTGTTCATGGGTGACATTGCGGTTTGTTTAGCATGCCAAAGATGAACTTTCTTGAAGTGTAACTTCTTATAATGTTTGGGTTGTACCAAGAAAATCCTGCTGTTTATGAAAATAACCTTTACTTTCCCTTGTCAGTTGCTTTTCCTATACCTTTTTATTTTCAAAATATCCATTTGATAATTTTTCACATATGCGGGTTCTTAGGTTACAAGCTTGAAAATGACTCGCCATCAGAAGCGGAAGATTGATGAGACACATGTAGAGGTATGCACTAATTAGAATCGTTTCATTCTTATTATTGTTGATCAATATTCCTGTTGTTTGGGAAATTGACTTGTCATCACCTTCTGTCTGTCTGTCTGTCTCACACACACACACACACACACACACACACACACGCACGTACACAAAATACGCTATAACAACCTACTTTGAAGGTTGTGTAAAAGTAATTTACATTACTATGTGCTGACAATGGATTTTATGCGAGGAAGTGCATTAGTGAGCTTCTCGAATTGCATGTTTCAGATTTTGTAAACTTTTTGATCTGAAGATGTTCTTGAAATTTTATAGGGCCATGAGGAACTTGATGCTGCCAGCTTGCGTGAACATGAAGAATTTACAAAAGTGAAAAATATAGCGACAATAGAACTTGGAAGATACGAAATTGAGACGTGGTACTTCTCCCCATTTCCACCAGAATATAATGACTCTTTGAAGCTGTACTTTTGTGAGTTTTGCCTCAATTTCATGAAGCGCAAAGAACAACTTCAAAGGCATATGGTGAGCTGTGCCTCGAATATTATTATTTTTCCTTGCTTACAATAGCTTGTTTGTGGATAGTTTATGTAGTAATGGACCTGCAGTTTATTTCATTAATGATTAAGTTCAAAAACTGTAGTTGACTGGTTTTGTTATTATCATATTTATTTATATATTTTTCTGTCTGCATATGTAGAGGAAATGTGATCTCAAGCATCCCCCTGGTGATGAGATATACCGAAGTGGTACACTTTCTATGTTTGAGGTTAGTAACATTGTTTCTGCATAACATATCATTGATGGGTTTTGAAAGAAACCCTTATGTTAGTTTCCTTCAGTTAATCTGGGAAGGTATTATGTGGTTTCAAAAGTGGCAATCTGTAATTTACTCTGCTTTGAAAATTGAAAGCACCGTCACATTTTAAATGCTGTGCGTTTTTTTTGTTGACAAGTTTTGGGGTCTATTTGCAATGTATTTTCAGATCTTAAGGTTGTGGCTGATGTGAATTTTCTTGGCTTAAATGTATTGAATCAGGTTGATGGTAAAAAGAACAAGGTTTATGGGCAGAATCTTTGTTATTTGGCGAAATTGTTTCTTGATCACAAGACCCTGTATTATGATGTTGACCTCTTTCTGTTTTACATTTTATGTGAATGCGATGATCGAGGATGCCACATGGTTGGATATTTTTCCAAGGTAATTTATTTGCAGATATTGAAGTGACTGTAGAGTTCTCTGTATTTCCAGTTTTTGGTTAGATTATTTTCCCCTGGTCACCTCTTTGTTAATGCGAAATTTCAGCATAACTAATTATGTGATTTCTCATAATGCAGGAAAAGCATTCGGAGGAATCCTATAATTTGGCGTGCATCCTCACCCTTCCTCCATATCAAAGAAAAGGCTATGGCAAATTTTTGATTGCCTTCTGTAAGCCCTGGCACTTAGTTTCTTATTGTATTTCAGCTTATTTCAAATCTCTCTCTCTCTCTCTCTATCTCTATGATTGAGTTCTAACTTTATATTGATAGTCCTTTCAATATTTGTAATATGTGGGGGGCCACTCTAAACACAAATT